ATGATCTTAGAGGTCTTTTCCAACCTCAATGATTCTATGATTCTATAACTCGAGTTCTGTAAAAGTATACTATTTCCACCAATGTCATCTGAATTCTTACCATCAAATCTAACCATACTGAGATGCTAATGCACAGAGAGAAGGACTTGTAGTCTTGGTTACAACAGATGATGTTTTTTGGAGGACTTATGAAATGGTTTCATAAGGAAAATCTGTTTATACAAGGTCATATGTCAAAATCCTTCCTTAAAACATTATCGTGTGTCTCCTGTGTAGATGTGTGGAGTGGAGGGAAGCAAAATGAGCCTCCTGCAGCTTTCCATTCCTGGGGACAGCTGTCATAATTCAACACCATCTTTTCGTGTTCATGAAAATACAGATGATGTTCCTTGACGTGCAAAAAAACTTTTAAGGAAATCAGAAGAGAGAGCAGATGTGGGGAAGTGTAGGAAAGAGAATATGCTGAGTTCCTTGGAAGGTTGGACCTGCAGACACACTCCTCCCTGTTTTAACTCCAGTCCTTAGTCCATGTTTGTCTATTTGTACCATACAGCATCTCACTGTTAACACTCTGGTCATGCAGAACTATGGTGAAAACCCAGCACTGCCGAAAGCAATAGCAAAAATCCCATTTACTTCGCCCGACTGAAAAAATAAACCAACCCACGTAAGAAGTCTGGGATTTGGTCCCTAGAGTATGCTACGTGGTAAAGAAAGTAGCTTATTGTTTTGTTTCAATCTCTGTTCTGATTTTCTTCCTTTTTGTTGGATTTCATTTGATCAGGTTTTCATCACGCCAACATTTCTAAAACACTAGCTCCCTCTAAAGGAGATTGTATCTTAGAGCAATAACGCTGGTCACAACCTGTTTGCCACCTTGTGTAAATAAACCTTGTCAGCTGTAAAAAGCATTAGACATATCACAGATTTCCTTAACATTTCTATTTAGGAATATTTATCCCACACATATCATCATATTATGATGCTGCATATTTAAGTGATGCACGTATATTTATGCTTTCTGTATGTGTCTGGGAATGACCAAATAGCTGCAGTATAGCTGTAATTTAATACACATCATGATGAAATTATCAATTGCCAAATATTTTACACGTCATCTTCTGAAATATCTGACATTTGTCATTGCCTGAGTGTATCTTATATATCTACGTGTTTCTATGTATACGCACTATTCAGATTAAAATCTTCTGGTAACCATTTGCACTTTAACTGAAAAATAGTTTTAAGTCTGAACGGAATACATTATTGCTCTAAATATGCATTCTGAAGGCATTTATCATCAAGTTTTTTAATTATGTAAAAGGAACAACAGTTAACGTCAAGCATTGTACTTCCTGCTAAATTGAGAATGCGAGTCAGCACTTCAGAGCAACTATAAAACGTCAGGATAAAAATTCTATGTACAATCTATGAAACAGCATTTTTGTTTTGGGCTTTTTTCTCCCCCCATTTCTTTCCCAGATCCTCAAGTGTGTTCCATGTAATGAAACACTGGCATTATGTTTCTCGATTTGGGAGCAAGCTTGGATTACAGTGCATCGGCATGTATGAAAATGGGATCATATTTAATAACAACCCAGCACACTGGAAAGAAATTCGACCCTTTTTCACCAAAGGTAAATCAGTGTGCATTAATACACTGCATCACTGTAGCACACAGACTATCTTTTCTGAAATGCTGTTCGTCCTTTGCATGCTTAAATTACAGAAATCAGTTCTCTTTATATATCCCATAGAAATATTTTCTTGCACATGTTCTTTCACACTTTTCCTGCTTGGTATGCTATTTGAAATGGTCCTGAAGTAGTTTTGCAGATTCTTAATCTCATCCAATTAAAACAAAATTAAATGATGCCCACAAGCCATGTTTTTAAATGTTTTTACGTTTCAAGTCCAGCATTTACATTAGCTCAACCAGCACTTCCATAAGTGTAGTTGGTTGTTCCTACCCCAGCTTCCACTGAGTTCAAAGACTTTTCTGTCTTGTTCTAATGGCAAAAAAGAAAGTGCTTTAGTTTCAAAATTAATTTAGAAGATCTGCACAGCAGAACTATTTATTAATCCCTTTAATAAGCTAGGAATCAATGTAGTAACAGAGAAAAAGATTGAAGCAATTAATATCAGTAGGTTGAAATCAAATAGGAAATTACATAAACAAACTCCAGTGTTACTATTTTATGAGTCTGCAATTTTTTGATTCACCTTCTTTCCACAAATTGAAAATTTTCAGTATTTGCATATCATCAGAATTAGCTACTTCCAATGATCTTACAGCCTTCCTAGCAAAACTGCCACACTTGTTCTGCAAGCTCTACAGTTCAGAAAATATTCTCACCAGCTGAGACTGCAGTAGTTTGTGACATGATTCCAGAACCTGAAAATGAAAGTAAAGCAGCACCTAAAAGAAATTAATTATCTGATGGTTGGAATCTTCTATATTATTTTGTTGATATATCTGTGCTCCTATATGACAACTTGGGCCTTTCCTACATGATTTTGCTATTGAAAAATATCAGCAGCTTTGTACTGGTTGAAGATGGCAGGAAAAAAAAAAATTCTACTTATTCCTAGAACGACCAGTTCTCTCTATTTACAAAACAGACCTCCTCTCTTCTCAATTACAAACATACAATCCCTCTCAACATATATTTGATAAAATAATGTCCTTGAGGCAGTTACAGCAATCCTTGTATGGAAAAGTAATTTAAATAGACTACTTGGGGCAAGATTTCCAAAGTCATTCAAAAATTACCTGAATCCACTCCAGCTGGAGCCTATCAAAATCCCACCGAATTACATAGCAATGGAACTGACCCCTGCTTTTGAATTCTTAAAATGCAATAAATCCATCATGACACTATCTCCACTGTTCCTAGGTGGACAGGCTAAGGTAGGCTCACACACAGCATACTGCCAGGCTGGGCTTCAGTACGCCCACAGCAACATTACAGGTTGCCAGTAGCTTACTGCAGAGCTACCGCGCTGTTTAAGAGCACCCAGGAGTCACGTTTTCAGAAATTCCCGTCGTCCTCCCCACGAATCCCCAAGCTATCTTCCCCACCCAGTGTCACTGCAGGCAAATGAGACAGGACATCCACAGTGCCTGTAACGCGGATGAGGATATGGATACCCTCCCACGCAGAAAGGTAGCACAAATGATGCCAAATATCTTTCCTTAACGTGGTATGAACCTAGCATAAAACGTGTGTCTGAGATACAAAGTGGCTGGATGCAAGGAAAGTTTGGGCTTTGAGTTCATTGCCATTTTAACTCAGAAGGCTTGCATTTTTCTTTCAAAAGATGGTACATCAGTAAGTTTCAGAACGATTTTATACCAGTCGCTCACATGATAATGTTTTACATTTTACTGGCACCGTTATCGCCAATTGATGTTATAAATAAGGTATGCAAGTTAACCAATCTTTTGATCATTTTGCACATGTATTTCAGCTCTGTCTGGTCCTGGTCTTGTGCGTATGATAGCAATTTGTGTTGAATCAACAATTGATCACCTGGACAAACTAGAGGAAGTAACCACTGAAGTAGGAAACATCAATGTGTTGAATCTTATGAGACGGATCATGCTTGACACATCTAACAAGCTTTTTCTTGGGATACCTCTGGATGGTACTAACAGCTTTATTTTTATACCTTATGATGCATCTAAAGTGCACGTCCAAGGAAAACTCATTGACATCACTCAGCAGTTTTGTTTCAGAAAACAGAGCAAGAGCAGACTCTTGTATCACCATATAATTAATTGAAATTGATTTATGAGTCATTTTAGTTATAAAAGAATTTTATATGACCAAAAATATGCATTTAGCTTGTCACACTCACCTTAATAAATAGTACCATTTAAAGAGATTTTTATGCAGAGTTGGTACAATCCCGATATTACATGCATGTAAGAATCCAAAAATCTTTCCAAACTAAATGATTGCCTTGAAAAGTTCACCTGGCAATTTGTCTTCTGTGATTTCTTCACCCTCAAAGCCGTATGACAGAAATAACATTATCGTGATGTATGAATTATCCCATTTCAATATGCTGCAAGAGTTCTGCTTCTGCTCTCCTGTGGGAGACTATTTGGCTGTGGTTGACACACCACTATCTCCTTTTAGCTAGCTACCAGGAGTTTTTACAAAGATCTATACCTTTTCTACAGTGTGCTACAAATGTTTCCTAATGCTGTCTACCACATATTAAACCCAATTGTTTATCAAATTCCCCATGAACTTAGTCAGAGTAGGGAACAGGGCCTTACTCTTAATTTTTCTGAAGCATTTGTGTTATTTGACTATCGAGGTTTATGTTTTATACTGCTTTTTGTTAACATTTATTTTCAGAAAGTGCCATTGTACTTAAGATTCAGAACTACTTTGATGCTTGGCAAGCACTTTTATTAAAGCCCGACATCTTTTTTAAGATTTCTTGGCTGTGCAAGAAATATGAAGAGGCAGTGTAAGTATCAACAGTTTTACAAATCATTTGCATAAGATTCACTCTTTCTCAGAAGGAGATCTTCCTTGATGTTTTCCTCTGCCTTTTAGAACATAAATTGTGAAACTTGCAAAGGTGGCTGGCTGAAGTCCCCTGTCTGCAGACCCAAGATAGCAACAGAACAAGATTTGCCACTGATGCTACAAGCGGCTGATCTCAGGGGACGATTTAAAGCCCTTGGCTATTCAGCCCTAGTTTACTCACCAAAATATTAGTTAACGCCAGCTCAAATGTGAAACTCAATTGAAATCGCTGGTTCAGTTCAAACAGACAAGGAAAAGCCATCCTATGTGGTGAAGTGACATTTGCTGTCTAGTCGAGGACAGTCAAATAGTAGGCTACAGTTCATCAAAACAAGAGAACCTGTCTACATCCATGGCACTGTCCCAGAAGAGTTAACCCCGAGCATAATTCTATTTATTGGTGCCCTCAACGTGCATTTTTGAGTCGACAACTCATGTTTGAGTTAAAACTCGGTGCTCAGCATGAGAATCCATTTCAAGGATTTTTTTCCTAAATAAGTAACAAATACGTTTTGCCATCTTCCTCTTTGCAAAAATATGAAATGCCTCCTCTATTTTTATGATCTCATTTGCTGTCTTCTGCCAAAAGAGGACTGGCTATAAAAAGAACTGGCAATCAGTTTGTTCATTTTGGATTTGGATTCTATCTAGTGAGAAAAACTACTACTTACGAAGAATGTGTAATAAATTGTTTTGATAGTGCTATATAACATACAGGCTTTAAGGGAAAGATGGAGGTTCATCTAAAGTAACTGACAACTCTCTTATGAGCTAGACACAAGATTTACCTTCTCTAACATTTCCTTGCCAGTTTTATTATGGCACTGATTACTGCTTTATTCTGTGATTCTAATAACAGCTAACTGTGGTGGCCCAGTTATTACTAGAAAGCCCCTGCAGGCAAATATTGATGTTTCAAAAGCAATCCCATTAAAATGGACATATTCATAAATTTCTACTGCAAAAAAAAGAAAAAGATAAAGATTGCTGGACTTATGCTGGTCTTAAAGCAATGAGAAGAACCACCCCAGGATATGATGACTTCCGATGCTGTTTTGATAAAGTTGGCAAAAAGGACCATTTGCTATTTCTAATACATAAAAAAAATATGTTATAAATAATGAGAACTTTACCAGATTTGAAGTTTTAAAGGCATTTACCCCTACAAACCCAGTCAAATTTTTTATCCCAACAATAACAAACACAAATGGAAAGCCTGAGGATTTCAGTCAAAAACTTTTCAAAATCCTTTAAAAAAAAATTGCCTTCAAATCTATAGCTAATTGAAAATCCCAAATAAAATTATAAAAAACTGTTGGACTTCACTTTTTTCCACTACTGAAATACAAACTGTTGACACAGTATTGCTGACTGTTTAAATATGAAAATTTAGATCAACTCTACCATCAAGATACTACAATTTTTCTAATATTTATCTACATTTTTCTAAGTTATCCCTCATGTTCTTTAAGTTCATTTTATTAGTAATAAAATACAGTATTAAAATAAAAGGAAATAGACAAATTCTTTGGAAATGTTACTAAATCTTTAAAAACTCTATTCATCAATAGGAGATACAGACATAGTTTCATCCTTTTCAGTCTAGCCTGTAAAAAGAGTAAGATTTGAGTCCAAACTAACAAGCAATTACTTAAGAAAACATGCCTTCCCTTAGTGTTACTGCTTTTGCAGAGAACCATATAACTACTTTTAGGAATACTTTATTTCTGCCATTCTTAGATGGTTTTATAGGTATAATCTCTACGTTTCTAATCATATCCTATTGAATACTAAAAGTCTGCAGACATTTATCAATATGTTGGATTTTATCTCTCTTTTCAGCAAGGATCTGAAAGGAGCAATGGAAATTTTAATAGAACAGAAACGACAAATGCTTTCCACTGTTGAAAAGCTGGACGAACACATGGATTTTGCATCCCAGTTGATTTTTGCACAGGTATTGGCAATGGACTCAAAATACAGCTAACACTGATTTTTCTGACATTCTCCTGTCACTAACAACACAGGCTTTGCAACTTAAACTTCATGTGTCCACCCAAAAGTCATATCATCGTAAAGAGATACAAATTACTGGGTTCTGGGGAGTCCCTAACAGCGATTCAAACATTGAATAGTTGCATTTTGGGGAACAGCTGCTTGCCTGATTTTTTTCACGGCTTAAACAACATCCTTAAAACTCGTGCATCTATCCCTGCACATCCTCCAGTTTTCCCCTAACCCCTGAATTTTATCTTGATGTATTGCCTTTTGTTTGCAAAGGCTTCAAATGCTATGTATATCCTATCTTGTATATTCTCTGACAGCTCACAAACTGTGTGAGGAAAGGCAATAAATCAATAAGAATCTGAGCTAAGAACAAACTCTCGCTTTTCTGTAAGATAATACACACCCATCAAAACATGAGTTTTCTGTTTTTCTCTGAAAGACAAAAACCAAATACTACTTAGCATATGAGGTAGAAAGACTGTCAAGATTTTTACTTTTGTTTAAAGCAGATATTGTAGGTCCTTCCCATTCTACTGCTATAGGACCTTTGCTGGCATCAGAGTTCAACAATCAATATTCTCCCCCACATTTCCAATTTTTTCAGAACAGAGGGGATCTGACTGCCGAGAACGTGAACCAGTGTGTGCTGGAGATGATGATTGCTGCTCCTGATACTCTGTCTGTGACTCTCTTCTTTATGCTAATACTGATTGCAGAGCACCCCACAGTGGAAGAGGAGATGATGAGAGAAATTGAAACCGTTATGGGTAAGCAGGAGCTGCAGTGTCAGTGATGTGGGAATATAATTGTGCTTCAGCAGTGATCTAATTTTGATTATTCAAAGGCTGAAAATTCTAAGTATTTTCTTCTAACAGAAGCATTTGCTGTAAAATATATGAACTACCATTATATATAAAAGATTTTATTCAAGATCAAATGAAAGATGAGCAATTTGTAAGATAAATTCACATAGGAATCATCAGAATTGACAATCTATTAGAAAGAATGCGCTATATTCGCTCCTCAGCAACAGCAGTGCAAATCAGCACTCACCTTGTAAGTTCCATTGAAATTATCTTCCAGTTGCCTTGAAATAGCAAAAGGGGACACCCATTTCAAATGCTTCTAATCACCAATATTTCTCTGTGTATGTACAGAGCCTGTCTAAGTTTCACTATGACTGCAGAAGGGAAAGATTAGAGAAAATTAAAATTATATTCTGCTGTCATCCATTTTGATATCAAACTGGTCTCCTCTTTAAATACTAATTACTAACTATTCAAAACACAATCAAGATTTTCCAAATTTGTATTCTTCCCTTTCTCTAGACTTCATTCAAAGCCTGACACTGAACTAATATGAAAACTAATTTCATCTTATTCAACATTTACTTCTGGTCAGTTAATCACTGGAAAGTGTGTAACAAATCAGTTACTCTTTTTCTAAGGTACTTTCAATAAACCTTATTTTATTGTTCTCATGAGAGTTGAGTACTCACTCATTCATCTTCCCTATTCCTTTCTGATAGCCTTGATTTCTAAGGCAGTAGAATGTTGTTGCCTTTTCCTCAAGCAAATGGCCAACCGGGGTAGCAAAGCTGCCTTTTATCTTGAAAACCTACCACTGCAGTGGTCAGCCTGTAGTTCTTGAACTGCTTGTGGCTTGAAAGTTAAAGTAAGGCTCCCACTGGCAGTACATCGTGGCATTGGTACTGTTGCTGATGGAATCAAGCCGGGATGAAGTTAGTCATGGCAGCGGAAATAGTCAGTCAGGCCACAGCAGGACCTAGCTGTACATCCAGCCAAACTCAATTACGTGGTGAAAATTTAAGGTCCCTACATTACCTCCCATCTGCAGACTGCTCCCAGGTTCCATTTGCTGTCAGCTCTCAGAAGATTTCTTTGCTGTATCTTGTTGCTCTCAGTCACACAAAAGTCAGGGAAGGACTTTCAGAGTTTTGTCATTGACAAGAAAGCAGAACAAAGACTCATAATGTATTAAGAGGAAGGTAAGGTGGAGAAGATCATAAATTAATAAACTAGGGTTTATGCTGATGAACAATATACCAGATTTCCCGAATATGTAAGGCTACATAAAACTACTTAAAAGCTGTTGGATCCTTCCTACCATTTCAGGAACTGAGAATCTTCCAAAAATGTTTTGGTATTTGTACAATGAAGCTATTAAATTCATAACCAACTTCCTCACCATCTGTTTTCTTCCTCAAGGTGACAGAGACATACAGAGCGATGACATGCCAAACTTAAAAATCGTGGAGAATTTTATTTATGAGAGCATGAGATACCAGCCAGTTGTGGACTTGATCATGCGAAAAGCTTTACAAGATGATGTAATTGACGGCTATCCTGTGAAAAAGGGGACAAACATTATTCTCAATATCGGACGTATGCATAAGCTTGAATTCTTCCCAAAGCCGAATGAGTTTTCTCTTGAAAATTTTGAGAAAAATGTAAGTTTTCTATCTTATTTCTTACAGGAAATTGGGTGGTATTTATTGACAATATATCTTCCTCTTATTCTGATCTAGAACTTTGAGACCATAAGACTGTTTTCCCTTTGTCTAAGTACCTAGTTAGCTATACATCCTGCTTATTACTATTATTAAAGCTGGGCAGATATTTTCCTATCAAAGTGCCTTTTAATTAGAAAATAATTATGATATTGAAAACAAAGTTTTCCCAGACATCTTAATTTTGATGACAAAGTTAATCAGAATTTTTTAAGACACACACATCATTCCCATTATATCCCCTGACATTGTACAAAATAGAGAGGCTTTAGGGAGCTAGAGCCACGCAAGCAGTACCACACAGAGCTGAGGCCACGGGAGGATTCTCTGGAGAGGTGAAGCAGTATAGTAACTCCCAGGAGACTGAGAATCTAGCACCCATTTTATTCTCTCTTCTTTTTTTTTTTTTAATTCCTAAATAAAAATAAACATCTTTCATAGACCAAAATGGAAATCCTAAGTTTTAACCAACTCAAAGCTGCAAATGTGGAGTAATTCAGTCCCAAATCAGCACAGCATTTCAATTTAAGTTAGAATGTAACTCCCAAAAGAACTAGAATTTTCTTTAGTCTACGTTACCGAGTCCTGTATCAAAAGCAATATGGGAACTTTTTTCCTACTTGGAATCCCCTACTATTGTAAATCATCCTTCAGATTATTTACTTTCATTTAGACCTCTGCTTTTCTGATTAACTATTAAACAAATTGTTTTGCAAAACTGTATTTGTTCAGTAACAATCACCTGGAGAGATTAAAAAACTGTATTGAAAGAAAATAGACTGATTCTATGGCACGTTTGACTCCTTGGTTTTGACTGTTTAACCAGCGCAGATAGAAGCAGAAGATACTGTGACAGAGAGCACAAAACATGACATATTAAGGTTTGGTTAGCACTCCTGTGAGGGAATTAGAAAGATCTCTGGAATAAATAGCCATGCAAGAGTGGAGGGTATAATCAACTTAGTTCTACGAAGGGAATCTCAACTGCAGAATGTTAGCCTTACTATCTCTTGTGGTTTAACCCTCAGTCAGCAACTGAGCACCACACAGCCGCTCACTCGCTCCCTGCCCCCCTGCCCCTGGTGGGATGGGGGAGAGAATCGGAAGAGTAGAAGTGAAAAAATTCATGGGTTGAGATAAAAACAGTTTAATAATTGAAATAAAATAAAATAATAATAATGATATACAAAGCAAGTGATGCACGATGCAATTGCTCACCACCCGCCAACCGATGCCCACTGTCATAGATGCACACATTTTCCTGGTATGCAAGCTCTCTCTTACATTTTCTAGTGCCTTATCAAATATTGAAGTTGAATGGGGTTGAAGATAAAGGGTTAATGTTTTCTACAGCTGTCATACTTCTCATTTTGCCTACCTAAAAAAGTTAGGAAATGATGTTACTACCTGGCAAAACTTTTTTCTTTTGAGATGTAGCAGCTGCACACATAAGCATCCATGGACAGTAATTTCAGTTTTAAAGAAATAAATAGATGACCCACTTTGATACACCAAAAATGGGCTTACTAGTAAAAACACCTGAAGAAATAATTAAGAAAATAAAGAAACAAAAGATGAATGTTCAAGCCCGAAGCACACCTCTAAGTTTTACATTTTTCCTATCAAAAAAATCTAGGCATACCACGTATGCCACACACACAAATGAGCGCACTAGACCGCCTGGTTAACATTTCTAAACTGCTGGTTGATTACCCATAGCAAACTCTGCACCCAGGATTAAATCCAACAGCTCAAGAAAAAAGTCACTGTAGAAAATTCAAGAAGAGCAAAAGTGATTAAGTTTATTGAAACAACTATTCACTGTGAATAGTTTCCATTTTGCCACCCATTATTTTCAATCTAAGTATTTCTACCAAAATGCATTTCTTGCTTATTTTATAAGTACACTTTGCTACTAAAAATATTTCCCCTTGACCAAATATTTAACCACACATTTTCTATCTGACTTGATGCATTCTGTTTGCCACATAATTATTCTAGCAGGCACAATTTGCACACAGTTCTCTAAGCAAATAGCGATCCACACCATTATTTATGATAAGATGGCATTGTTAGAATCTAAACGTTTTTCTATTTTCCCAGGATGTGCATTTGCCATTGTGCTGTACTGCCAGCTGCTGTACTTGCTCTGTATTATAAACACTTGTATTTACCTATCATTTTTCAAAAAGTACAGCTCAGTTTGAAAAAATTTAAACAGAAAACATTTTTCTCAGTCTGAAAATGAGAAAAAAAGGACACTTTTTTCTAGATAATTTAATATAAAGCAACCTTTTCTACTCTGTTCTTGGGTTAAATAGGAAGTCAGAACACAGCTAATATCTTACTTTTTAAGAAGCAAGCTGCACAGATGAAGAAAAATAATTTCTTTATAGCCAGACTTGCTTTTTCTTACTCATAACAAGTACCTTTGTACCTTATTAGCAGTGCTATTCATGCTGTTTGGACTGTTTTGGATAACTGATCTATTCAATGTCAATAAAAGCAGCAGAAGCTGGCTGTGCATTCTTCAACACTTTTGGGAATCCTGCATTTCACATTTCAGTTCATAGGTCAGGAGACAGTCATTTTAAGTGTTATCTCTCTATTAGATATCAAATAAAATTTTCAACGTTACATTTTATGACAAATTAATTCTCAGGAACACTAGCTTTTTAATGACAATTGTAGTAGGTGTATGGCTTTATAATTATCTTTAAACAAGGTATCAGCCTGTATCTCAGACATTTATGAGCTTTATAATGAACATTTTCTGAAGAAGTTTTAAAATGAACTTTAATGTATATTAAAGAGCGAAAGCTTCACTCCATTTCACAGCTTGCGGTAAAATCCCTGTATTTCACAGGATGAACGGACTGAAACACCCGGTCAGAATTCAACTGCTTAACTTTACATTCCCTGCTACCTAGCATTTAAAATGGCATACCTGCTGTCGGTGTCTCTGAATTTCGGCCTGACTTGGGTGGGAGGGCTGTTCAGTGTAAAGGGAAGAAGGAATTGCCCCTAAGAGATTCTTTCCAGAAGTTTTTCAGAATATATTTACTACCAATTTCCATCATAATTTTGGCTACTGTCATGAAGAAAAATTTGTCTTAAAGTTTATTCCTCATGTTGTTCTGTGCAGGTTCCTTCACGCTATTTCCAACCATTTGGATTTGGCCCTCGGGGCTGCGTAGGAAAGTTTATTGCCATGGTAATGATGAAAGCAATTCTGGTGACTCTTCTGAGACGGTGCAGAGTACAGACAATGAAAGGAAGAGGCCTTAACAACGTCCAGAAAAACAATGACTTGTCCATGCACCCAATAGAAAAGCAGCCTCTGCTGGAGATGGTTTTCACACCAAGAAGAAACACAAACACGAATCAGGGTGAATAAAATGGATCTGCATCAGCATTAAAGTTACAGGGCTTTCTCAGCCACAGCCACTAAGAAATACCCATCATTCCTAGGTAAAGATATAGAGTAAAACATTTTGTTGCCCCTAAATCGCTACGGCTTCGGATGACAACTTGTTCCGCCTGCACAGCAGAACCAGGTTTGGCCACAACTTCAATGTAATAAAGTAAGACTAAAATTACAAAATAGTCCTGTTGCTAGGTGATGCCACACTATATGCAGGATTCCTGGCTACTTTTTAAAAACCATCAAGTTCAGATGAAGTTATGCTTGCTTTTCAAACAGTGCAAGTTCAAGAGGTTTGGGGGTCGACAAAAGAACGTGCTTGACGTGTGTTTAATTCCAGGACTACGTGTGTCCCCCTGCCGCCCCAAAGTTGGACCTGGCAGTATTTTGCTACTGCAAAAGCTCTAATTATCTGTTTTTGAAAACATCTGAATGAATAGTATTAAAGTTGATTTTAAGACTATGAAACAATTTAAAGTATTGAGGACATATATAAGTTATAAAAAATGTTCGTACAAGAAGTCATTCAAACATTTTTCTTTACCATGTTTTGCTGTCATGTTAAACAGATACCAAAAACTTACAGTGTCATGGTAGTACTGATGGTAGTAATTTTCAGAGCACTAGGTAATATGACAGTTGAGATAACTGTTCTATGTTTTTAAACCCCAGTGTCCCGCTGGGGACATTACCACTAGTACAGGGAGGGCGGGAAACACTCAGCTCCACCTCATCTGGTTAACTGCAGAAATTTCACCTCCATTTGGGGAAGAAGTTCAAATTCTCTCTAAGCTGCTTAAGCGGTACCAAATCCTGTTTCAGTCTGGTTTTAATTGCTCAACTCTACTTCAGAGAGTAAGATTTGGAGCTGTTGCCCATGTTCCCACACCACAGCAGGGGAGAAAGTCCCTCCCTAATTATCCACATAGCTCTTACTGCTTCTCCTGAAAGAGCATCTTGCTTCACACCCACTGATTTAAAGAGTCATAGAATCATAGAATCATTGAGGTTGGAAAAGACCTCTAAGATCATCGAGTCCAACCGTCAACCCAACACCACCATGCCCACTAAACCATGTCCCTAAGCGCCTCATCTACACGTCTTTTAAATACCTCCAGGGATGGTGACTCCACCACTTCCCTGCGCAGCCTGTTCCAATGTTTAACCACTCTTTCAGTAAAGACATTTTCCCACACGTCCAATCTAAACCTCCCCTGGTGCAACTTGAGGCCATTTCCTCTCGTCCTATCGCTTGTTACTTGGGAGAAGAGACCGACCCCCCACCTCGCTACAACCTCCTTTCAGGTGGTTGTAGAGAGCGATGAGGTCTCTCCTCAGCCTCCTTTTCTCCAGGCTAAACAACCCCAGTTCCCTCAGCCGCTCCTCATAAGACTTGTTCTCCAGACCCCTCACCAGCCTCGTTGCCCTTCTCTGGACACGCTCCAGCACCTCGATGTCCTTCTTGTAGTGAGGGGCCCAAAACTGAACACAGTGTTCGAGGTGCGGCCTCACCAGGGCCGAGTACAGGGGCACGATCACTTCCCTACTCCTGCTTGCCACACTATTTCTGATACAGTCCAGGATGCCATTGGCCTTCTTGGCCGCCTGGGCACACTGCCGGCTCATGTTCAGCCGGCTGTCGACCAACACCCCCAGGTCCTTCTCTGCTGGGCAGCTTTCCAGCCACTCTTCCCCAAGCCTGTAGCGCTGCATGGGGTTGCGCACCCCCGCACCCTACCGTCCCTGAGTCAGTAGCATAAGAGGAGAAACACTGGCTCAAGAGGTAGAATTTTTTCTTCCCCCCCCCTCCTTTTTTTTTTCCTTAAGGTAAAATGGGCTTCACTCATCTACTCAAGGTAAGATGCAAGTTTCATTGGGTAAATGCTCAGAGTTTTGTAGTGGCAAAGGAGAAAGTTCTGAACTAACAAGCAGATTTCTAGAAAACATTTTTAAAACATTTAAAACATTTTGCATACACAGATTTTTATTTTAAATTATAAATTAGGCTTAGTTTTATACTTAGTCCTTAACAGGAAAGCTACATAACTACCCAGCATTTCTTGTTGAAAACGGACCTATCTTGAAATCTGTAGAATCTTGACATTCACGGATATCTCTACTAGCCTAATGACAAATTGTCAGTTTGGTCAAGGAGAAAAAGACCTTCTTGGCTTAATGACACCATTCCTTGACAGAGACTTTCCATTTTCAGTAAGCTTGAGTTTTCATATTGCGTAACCCAAAGAAAGGGGTTTTCTGGATAAAGTGCCTTGATAAAGCCAAACAACCAATGTACAATAGGCTTTATATTAACTTTTTCCTTCCAAGTCACTTAAACTATAAAAAGAAAAAAAGAAAAATTGTTTGTGTCCTTAACTTAGAAAAATCTAATTAAAATTAGATTAATTAATCTGTTCCCTCAGACCACTGCTCTCAGGTGGAGGTCCAGCAGAGGAAGATCTATCCAGTAGCATATAAAAACTGCATAAACCCAACAAATAAATATGCGTTCCAGCCAAAGGTAATGAATTAGGTCAGGCTGGGACTGGTGACAAAGAAGAGAAGCTGCACATTTAGGTCATTTCTCAAAACAGCATGTAAATTTTCTAGAGTAATTTAAAAAAAAAACCAAACTTGAAAGTAGAATAATTTATTGTAGCTAGGTTACTTTTAAAGCTTTCTCCATAGCATTTGCATGGTACCCAAAAATGACCATAGTGAAGTGCAATCCCATACTGCCTGTAAATACAGACAAAATTGGGCATTTGAAGACATCTAGAAATAGGATTTAATGGTTAGACTAGATGATCTTAAAGGTCTTTTCCAACCTAAATGACTCTATGATTCTAGGACTTCTATTTTTTAAGTCATGAAGTGACATAGTGGTATGAACCTTTGGAACATCTAATGTAACCTCTATTTCTACATTCTCTGTAGCCTTTAAACTAGGAAATTGTCAGAGCTGTTGGGAGAAGAAAAAAACCACACCAAACAAAAACAAAAAAAGAAGGCCAAAAACTGATTAAATCCTGTTCTTACTCATTCTGTATCATAAAACACCAAAAAGGGTACTTCAGTGGACATGCATTTCTCATTTGTATGAGAACTTTAAAAAGAAATCCACTGAAGGGTCTTTTTTCTTGGGAATAAACTCCCGTTTTATACACAGTATGCATCTTCACTTATTTCACACACAAAAACATTTTTACAGCGATATATTTACTCTCTGATTTTCCATCTCATAATTATAGGTCTCTCCCCGAGTAAAATTTTTCACATTACTTTTATCATTCAAATTTTGAAATAATTATCTGAAATCATGTAGATATATGGAACTTGCATGCTGCTCTGATTTCTTTAATGTATTATATATTGTTGAATTTGTAGGCTGGAATTTCAGAAACATGATTACCATAATTATTCTATGGAAGAAACAAAGCAGTTTCATTTTCTACTTTTTGTGAGCAAGCCTGCAGAATTATTTCCCATTGTATTTTAAGTATATTCTTTCTGATATGCTTTGCACATAGTGTTTCTGGTCCTCAGATTTCTACAGTACTTAGTTTTGTCCACATTTGGACAATAGACCTGTTAATTAATCTGAGCCCTGTTCTGCATATCTTTATTATGGCTGTTATGCAGTGGTCTATTTTGCATGAATATTTGCATGATAAGGTCCATCTGCCCTCCTCATATACTTCCATATGTTTGAGAACTGCAGTTGGTGAAGCAGTGTTTCAAAGCTTGCCATGTGGATATAAACAGTTTAAATCTTTTCAATGTATGTATGCCATTGTACAAAACAGAGCTCTGGTTTTAAATGGTGTTTTATTACCAAGTACTGTAAAAATTTAAGTGACTTTTAAAACCACATCAAGTCTCCTATCATCAAGTGAGTATTCCATTAATGTTCAATACATCAACATAGACCAAACTTGAAGACTATGTTTTATACATCACTATGATTATGGGCTGCTCACAGCACATAAACGTGGATGTTGTTAGAAAAATAAAATAATCAAATAAAAGTTGTATGCACAAAACCAAGTTTTAAATCATGTTTCATCGTGTTTTCACAATCTAAAAATCACAAAAGAGTATTTAAATGTATGAGTGTGTATGCATGCATGAACTGATTATTAAGGTGTTAGATACAAGGATGAAGTCTGGGATATTCTAAACTCAAATTTCCCACTGATTTCAGAGGATATTATTAAAAATATCTTTGCAATACTATAGTAAGAAAGCAGAAAGAGATTAAATAATTTAAATTCGTACAAGACTGCTTGCCTAGGAACGCACTTTATCGAAGCTTTAAAAGAAGGGAGAAGAGGTAGTTTTTGGTGATTCTTAAGATAATAGGGATTTGTGGATGTAACAAAAAAGGTTGGCTTGACAATACAAACAGCTCAGCTACCTGAGAAAAGCATCTAAAGTAATAAAAAAATGAAACAAAGCAAAGAAATAAACTGACTACACAGTTCAAAGTAAATTTCATCTTTCTACTCATATCATGATGGCATGACAAATTCAGTTTGTATCTGTATAACTAATTTATTTCACTTTCAAATGAAAGCTTTCAGAGTGATAATTCTTGTATTTGGCTAAGTGACAGAAAACTGGAAGGTAGTAAATGGCATACTAAAAAAAGTCACAAGAACTCTTTAACATAGCTGCAAATGGATAGATTTTTCAGACAGTAACCTGATCACGAGACACTCCCAGTGAAAACATTTACCCTAGAATTTTACAAGCTCTATTAGTAATTTTTAAGCATTAATAAACAATCATCATATTATTAGATTGTTCACTTTCTGCATTCTCCAATACAGTCCAGTGTTATAGCCTCCGTTAATATCCCATTAAATTCAATTCTTAACTTTAAAAGACAATCCCAATTGAAAGTTTACAGCAGAAAGGAACGTATTACTGTTGGGTAGAGGAAAACTGTTAATATGTTGGGCCAAATCTGCTCTGATCTATGGTGAAATAAATCCTTCTCTAATCTAAGATTGGAATTTGCTGCTCATTTTAAAGTGGCAGTTACCCAGGACTTGAGAGGTTAAGACTGTTAGGGCTCAAAACAACACTACCTATCTACTATTATCGTAAGCCTTAAACTTTACGGTATCTAATTTATAAAAGTGCTGGTTTTGCATACCATTATAAGTCCAATGTTTTCAAACACAGATCTTTAATTTTACAATATAG